ATAAGGTTGATGGCGGAGGACCATCGCTTCAGTGCTAGTGGGCTTTGCTTCTTCCAGCATGCTGACATTTGTCCGTTTGTCTTCCCAAGAGATTTACAGGATTTTCCGGAGGCAACGCTGATGGAATCTTTCTAGGAGTTGCATGTGACGTCTGTAGACTGTCCACGTTTCGCAGGTGTATAGCAGGGTTGGGAGGACAATAGCTTGGTTTCCCTATGGATGTCCTGGTCATCCGACCCAGGCATGGGCAAACTTGGGTCTCCAGTTGTTTTGGACTTCAGTTCCCACAATTCCTAACAACCAGTAGAAAAGAAACCATTCCATCACAGACTGAGTACACTCTCTCCTAAAATGCCATTGTTTGCATGTTTTGTTGATCAGGATGTACTTTTAATACATGCCATGTATCCAGTGTTGATTTATAATGCATTCGTGCATTCATTTCTGATCTTTGGGGTGTTTGCTCCAGCTCAGAGCCTCGTAAATGTAATGCATGCCAGGATTTCTTTTAAAGGCAGGAGCCAAATCTGCTGTCCAAGTAAATTCTTTTCCGATCCGTTTCAGCATCCAAATGGTACTTTTCATACTTGGAAGGACTTCTGTTCAGATAATGCAAAAAACACAGCATTTCTGAGCAAACCATAATGCACAGCTTGTACTTACTTACTTACTTACTTACTTACTTACTTAGTTAAGCGATCCCTCATTGTCCGAGTAGGATAATCCTCCAGGGTGGGTCCATAGGTGACTGTGGAGCCCTCTTCTTGACCTGCATCTTCTCCCACAGTGAGGGCATCGGTTTCCAGACGGAAGGCGGTCCCAGTCGGGGGTGGCTTGACGCGCCTTCCTCTTGCCACGTTTCTCTGTTTCGCCCTTCATTCGTACCTCTTCAAATTCTGCAGCACTGCTGGTCACAGCTGACCTCCAACTGGAGGGCTTCCCAATTCTCTGTGTCTATGTCAGAGTTCTTAAGGTTGGCTTTGAGCCCATCTTTGAATCTCTTTTCCTGCCCACCAACATTCCGTTTTCCATTCTTGAGTTCGGAGTAGAGCAACTGCTTTGGGAGATAGTGGTTGGACATCCGGACAACGGGGTTGGTCCAGCAGAGTTGATGGCGGAGGACCATCGCTTCAGTGCTGGTGGTCTTTGCTTCTTCCAGCACGCTTTTATATTCTGCCCTTCTCACCCCGCAAGGGACTCAGGGGGGATTACATTGTACACATATATATGGCAAACATTCAATGCCAATTTTTGACTTGCAAACATATACAGACATACACAGAGGTCCTTTATACTTCCTTCTTTGCTTCCCTGCTGGGCTTCTTCCTCATGTAGATAAAGAGCTTTGCTCTCACAGAGCCTCCTCTCACAACAAACTTACACTGGAGCTTCACACTGGAGCTTTACACACAGCAGCCTTTATACTGGAGCTTTATCACACGAGACTTCTCTCACACAGAGGTTTACCTCACACTTCTCAGGACAAGACTAGCTTTGGCCCACTGACTCTAAGAGGCTGCGGCCTACTCACTCTTTCAGTGCTTGACTCACACTTTTGTAATAAAAAATACCCAGTTAAAGCTCCACACTCCAGTGCTTACACACAGCAGCCTTTATACTGGAGCTTTATCACATGAGGTTTCTCTCACACAGAGGTTTATCTCACACTTCTCAGGACAACACTAGCTTTGGCCCACTGACTCTAACAGGCTTTGGCCTACTCACTCTTTCAGTGCTTGACTCACACTTTTGTAATCAAAAACACCCAGTTAAAGCTCCACACTCCAGTGCTTACACACAGCAGCATTTATACTGGAGCTTTATCACATGAGACTTCTCTCATACAGAGGTTTACCTCACACCCCTCAGGACGACACTAGTTTTGGCCCACTGACTCTAACAGGCTTTGGCCTACTCACTCCTTCAGTGCTTGACTCACACTTTTTCTGGCCGCCAGGGGAGCTGTCACTTTCATCGTCCATCTGCGACGCTGATGAAGCACTTCCGCATTCCCCGCATGCTTCTCCACTTGAATGCTTTGCTGGAGTCTTCTTTATGGCCTCATAAATCAGTTAATTTAGCCTCCCCACGCTTTGTCAGGAGGGCTTTGTCAGGAGGGCTATGATACTATATCTCTGTGTATGTGAATCATATATATCTCTATCTATGGCTGGATGGCGCTTTGTCAGGAGGGCTTTGTTTACGTTTTCTTGCCCTGGTAAAGGGAGTTGGACTGGATGGCCTTAAGTATTTTCTGTTGGTCATGGGGGTTCCGTGTGGAAACTTTGCCCCAATTCTGTCGTTGGTAGGGTTCAGAATGCTCTTTGATTCTAGGTGAACTATAAATCCCAGTAACNTGTCTGTGTTTTAGATGGATTAGGGATCAGCTGGTTTTCCCTGTCATAGGCAGTAAGAGCACCTAGAGCTTCTGAGAGCTTCTGTTCAACCATCTCAAAGCTCCCTGCTTGAGCAGTGATGGCAGGATCATCAGCATAGATGAAACTCTTTGTCTCTTCTGGCAGTGGCTGGTCATTTGTGTAGATGTTGAACATGGATGGAGCAAGCATGCTCCCCTGAGGCAGGCCGTTCTTCTGTTTCCGCCATCTGCTTCTCTGCCCTGGAACTCAACAAAAAAGCTCTTGTTTTGTAGCAAGAACAGTGGCTGAGACAACAGGAGTAAGAGAAGTCTTGCCCTCCGAGGGAAATTCCCTCCCGATCGTGTTATAATCCTGGGGGAAAGGGGCCTCCACTGAGGATTTCTCTCCAAACTAACCTGGACTAGGATTCCAAACATGCCTTTAGTAATTTTAAAGCATTAATGAATTGTTTTAATGGCTTTTTATAATTTATTCCTGTTGTTGGCATTGAATGAATGCCTGTTGTGAAGCCGCCTTGCTGAACTTGCTGATTGGAAGGTTTGCGGTTTGAATTCGGGGAGTGGAGTGAGCTCCCACTGTTAGCCCCAGTTTCTGCCAACCTAGCAGTTCGAAAGCATGCAAATGTGAGTAGATCAATAGGTACCGCTCTGGTGGGAAGGTAATGGCACTCCATGCTGTCATGCTGGCCACATGATCTTGGAGGTGTCTATGGACAATACCAGCTCTTCGGCTTAGACATGGAGAGGAGCACCAGAGTCCCAGAGTCGGACACAACTCGACTTCATTTTAAGGAGAAGCCTTTACTTTTACCTACCAACTATTCTAAAGCAAACCCTATTTTTAGAGTTGCTTATATGCACCAAAAAATAGTGCCTTGGGAGGGAAGAAATGCATCCTGCTTTCCTCTCTCGGGAGACACAATCACCATATATCTATATTTAAATCTATATTTATGCATCCCACTTTCTGTGCTGATTTGAATCTCAATTTAGAGAGGAAAGCAGAGTCCCCTCGGGGAGATAGGGCGGCTGTTGCAACTCAGAGTAGGCTTCACCTTGCTCCTAAACACCACCACACAAGAGCTGTAGTTTTACAGTTTATTGAGGAGAAAATCCCAAATAAAGAATAAGCATCGCAAAGTCCCAGAGATTAAGGTTAAATGCAGAATACAGTTCCAAAGATCTTCAAGTAAAAGCAGGAGACGTAATCCTATTGGCAAAGTTCAAACCAGAGTCCCAGGTACAAGCAAGGAAACATTTGCCCCAAGAATCACGATGCAAGAAATCCCAAGCGTACTGCTTTCCAGGCTAAGGTTATTCCATGAAGCTTTCAGGCTAATAAGCTACGTTGAACTGACGCTTTCACAGTTTCCAGGAGGCCTAAATACCTTTCTAACATCAAAACATTAGGCTCTCAGCATCATAAAAGCATTGCAATGACCTTGCACCGAGCTAGCCTCTCGTTTGCTTGCCAGACGCGAACTCCGCCTGACCCGGAGATCAAGGCGAGCTTCTCGGGTCAAATCCTTATCTGCACTTTCGGTATCATCGTGGGAAGGCACCTGCTCGCTATTTCCTTCGTTAACATTCCTTTCTGGTGAAAACAGCTGTGTTGACACTGCACTGTCTGTGAGAGCCTCGGAAGCAGGCTCAGAGATTTGAGGCACAGACAAAGAGCCAGGAAGCTGAAACCCAACAGGAATCTGAATCCCATCATCCTCATCGTCAGAAACTAGCTCAGCCACAACAGCGGCCTATAAATAAAGTATTATTATTATTATTATTTACACACACATACAAGGAGCCTCCGGTGGCACAGCGTGCTAAAGCACTGAGCTGCTGAACTTGCTGACAGTAAGGTCGGGTTCGAATGCGGGGATTGGGGTGAGCTACTGCTGTTAGCCCCAGCTTCTGCCAACCTAGCAAACACATGCAAATGTGAGTAGATCAATAGGTACTGCTCCGGCGGGAAGGTAACGGTGCTTCATGCAGTCATACCAGTGGCCATATGACCTTGGAGGTGTCTATGGACAACGCTGGCTCTTTGGCTTAGAAATGGAGATAACCACCAGAGTCCCAGAGTCGGACGTGACTGGGGAAAACTTTGACCCTTACCTACACCCACACATACCACACACTGCACTTCCTTCTTTGACCTCACTTTCCAGGTTTGGGTGGGGAAGGAGTTCCCATCGGGAGGGATAAAGCAGGGTATAAAACAACAACAACAATAGAGGGATGTCCACCATCCACAGCAATGACCCCCTTCCCCCACTATACCTCTTGAGCAGAAAGTGAAGTTGCTAGTAGTTGTAGTAGCCTTGAAATTGCTATTATCGAACTTACTATTATCGTTATTATTATAATAATTATCATATTTGTTTTTATACCACTTTGCTGTCAAAACAGTACTCAAATCAGCTAGTTTTGCAGGAATGTCTTTATTTTGAATACACTTACATTTATGTTTTCCTCTCAAGTTTCAAAGGAAATATAGTTCAAAGAAAGAAGTGGATAAACATCAGTGTTATGAATTGAAGGCAGACAAATGGGGAGAGGGAGGGGCCTTTGCAGGTCGTGACCCTTCTGACCCCCCCCCTTGACTCCTCTTTGCTCCTTGCAGACGGAGGCTGTGCTGTGTGAGTGCCGGGTGCGCTTCCTGTCCTTCATGGGCATCGGGAGGGACGTCCGCTCCTTCGCCTTCATCATGGCTGCTGCCCCCGGGGACTTCCGCTGCCATATGGTCTGGTGTGAACCCAACGCTGCCGGGCTAAGCGAGGCTGTCCAGGCCGCATGCATGGTGAGTGGCAGGGACGTGCCTTCACAGTCACTCGGGGGGGGGTCCTCATATGCTGTGGATCCATGATCTGGGTGTTGCGTGCATTCTGGGCTGTATTCCGGGCCATGTTCTACAAACACAAAGACAGTAGAGACAGTTCTACAAACTTTGCCTGCAAACACAAAGACAGTTCTACAGACCTCGCCTACAAACACAGACAGTTCTACAAACACAAAGACAGTTCCACAAACCTCACCTACAAACACAAAGACAGTTCTACAAACCTTGCCTACAAACACAAAGACAGTTCTACAAACCTCACCTACAAACACAGAGACAGTTCTACAAACCTTGCTTCC